GCCTCTACTACAAAGCTGTCATCATCAAGACAGCATGGTATTGGCACAAAAACAGACACATAGACCAATGGAATAGAATAGAAACCCCAGAACTAGACCCACAAACGTATGGCCAACTCATCTTTGACAAAGCAGGAAAGAACATCCAATGGAAAAAAGACAGTCTCTTTAACAAATGGTGCTGGGAGAACTGGACAGCAACATGCAGAAGGTTGAAACTAGACCACTTTCTCACACCATTCACAAAAATAAACTCAAAATGGATAAAGGACCTGAATGTGAGACAGGAAACCATCAAAACCTTAGAGGAGAAAGCAGGAAAAGACCTCTCTGACCTCAGCCGTAGCAATCTCTTACTCGGCACAACCCCAAAGGCAAGGGAATCAAAAGCAAAAGTGAATTACTGGGACCTTATGAAGATAAAAAGCTTCTGCACAGCAAAGGAAACAACCAACAAAACTAAAAGGCAACCAACGGAATGGGAAAAGATATTTGCAAATGACATATCGGACAAAGGGCTAGTATCCAAAATCTATAAAGAGCTCACCAAACTCCACACCCGAAAAGCAAATAACCCAGTGAAGAAATGGGCAGAAAACATGAATAGACACTTCTCTAAAGAAGACATCCGGATGGCCAACAGGCACATGAAAAGATGTTCAGCGTCGCTCGTTATCAGGGAAATACAAATCAAAACCACACTCAGGTATCACCTCATGCCAGTCAGAGTGGCCAAAATGAACAAATCAGGAGACTATAGATGCTGGAGAGGATGTGGAGAAACGGGAACCCTCTTGCACTGTTGGTGGGAATGCAAATTGGTGCAGCCGCTCTGGAAAGCAGTGTGGAGGTTCCTCAGAAAATTAAAAATAGACCTACCCTATGACCCAGCAATAGCACTGCTAGGAATTTATCCAAGGGACACAGGAGTACTGATGCATAGGGGCACTTGTACCCCAATGTTCATAGCAGCACTCTCAACAATAGCCAAATTATGGAAAGAGCCTAAATGTCCATCAACTGATGAATGGATAAAGAAATTGTGGTTTATATACACAATGGAATACTACGTGGCAGTGAGAAAAAATGAAATATGGCCTTTTGTAGCAACGTGGATGGAACTGGAGAGTGTGATGCTAAGTGAAATAAGCCATACAGAGAAAGACAGATACCATATGGTTTCACTCTTATGTGGATCCTGAGAAACTTAACAGGAACCCATGGGGGAGGGGAAGGAAAAATAAAAAAGAGGTTAGAGTGGGAGAGAGCCAAAGCATAAGAGACTGTTAAAAACTGAGAACAAACTGAGGGTTGATGGGGGGTGGGAGGGAGGAGAGGGTGGGTGATGGGTATTGAGGAGGGCACCTTTTGGGATGAGCACTGGGTGTTGTATGGAAACCAATTTGACAATAAATTTCATATATAAATAAAAAAAACATTTCAGTATATATCTCTATCAGATAAGGACCTTTAAAAAGGTATGAGCACCATGCCATTATCACATTTAACAAAATTGCTAATAATTTCTTATTATAATCTAATACCCAGTCAGCCACGGTCAGAGTTCCCTGATCGTCACAGGTTTTTGTTTGGTTGGTTTTTTACGTTTTGTTGTTGTTGAAGTCAGGATCCAAACAAGGTCCACACGATGCGTTTAGTTGACAGGTGACTTAAGTCTCATAATCAACACCATTAAGCCCCCTCTTTCCTCCCCTGTGATCTGTTAAAAAAAAAAAATCCAGTTCACTTCTCCCATTGAACTTCTCACATTAACAGTTCAGGTGATTGCCTCTTTGTGGTGCCATTGAATTTCTTCCCGCGTGCCTGTGTTTTGTCTCAGACCCGGACGATTGACCATTTAGACTCGATTATGTGTGTGTGCTGGGAGGAAGAAGTGAATCGCTAGAATACCTCATAAGTGGTGCTGCATATCTGCCAATGTACATAATGTCTCATCATAACATTCAGATTGGTGAGCAGGTTGGGTCTCCCTGGGCCAAAATCAAGGTGTCAGGAGGACAGCAGTTCTCTCTGGAGGTCTAGGGGAGAATCCATTTTCCAGCTTTGCCAGCTTCTAGAGGCCTCCAGTGTTCCCTGGCTCTCAACCCCCTTCCATCTTCAAAACCAGCAGTGGCTGGTCAAGTCTTTGTCACCTTGCATCACTCTGACATGGATTCTTCTGTCTCCTTCCACCTGTAAGGCCCCTTGTGATTACAGTGAGCCCTCCCAGATAATGCAGGAGATTCTCTTTATTTTAAGGTCAGTTGGTTAGCAACCTTAATTGTCTCTACAATCTTCATTCCCCCTGTCATGGAGCATAATCTCTAAGGTCCTGGGGATTAGGGTGCAGACATCTTTGGGAGGCTGTTATCCTGCCCACCATACTCATTCTCAGTGAGCTAAAGACCTGAGGGAGGGGACAGAGAGAACATTCTGAGCCACTTTCCTACACTTCCAAGAGCAAATGGAGCATTGGACTCATACCGACTGGGCACCTTTGGGGAAAGCATAATCAGCCACTGGGACAGGAACATCAGGATGGTCTTGGAACTCAGGGTCAGTGCTGAGAACCCACAGAACTGAGATTCCCCCTCCCCCCCACAGTCTTCTCTGCTGTGTGTGATTTGTATAAACACTTGTAAAGGATGCCTCATCTCTCCTCCAAGTACACTTGTTTCGGTGAGGTTTCCACCCCACTTTGTCAAATGGCAAACACCATTCTTAAAAAGTCTTAAGCATGTTTATATAAAATGTATCTTTAAAAATTTGTTGTTTATTGCAAAAAAGTAAAAAGGAAGAAGGTGGCAATGTATCTTTGCCCGAAGAGTGAATATTATAAACAAGTTGCTTGGGTTTGAAAGAAAGACTGTGGAAACACTGATGAGGCTCTGTGCTAAAACTCATGGCTGCTATGACTGTCAGTCCCCCTAGTAAAAGTCTGACCAGCCACAGTGTCACTGAGCATGGACCCCAGCATCAATCTCCCTGGGTCTCTCATGGAGAAGGCTGAATTGGGTTTATCTGGACCAACCTCATGTGCTGGCAGATGTCGCCAACACATGACACCCACACTTGCCCACCTCCTACCCAAAAACAAACAAGCAAACATGCAAGCTTGCTAGAGGGGCAACATTTCATCAAAGCACGACTCCCTTTTCCCAGACCTTCCAGAAGCTTCCAGAGTGTAGGACGGGGAGGGGGCAGTAGAAAGGAAGATGCTGTGCTGTGGCAATTATGACCCCAAAGTGGGTGGAAGCTGAGGTCTTTTGCAGGAAAATTTGAGGAGATCTGGATAACGTGGAGACCAAAGGGGATGGATGGAAAGGTGGAAAGGAAGGATCCAGTTATACAGCAGTGAAATGAATGATCTAGATACGTGGATACATCTTTAAAACGAAATGTTAAGGAGTTGGAAGCAAGTTCTGCAGAATGTATACAATATGCTACTATCTGCACGTGCTCGCTGTGTGAAACAATTTCACATATGAGTGACATATGCACATGTAATAAAAGTACAGAGAATTGTATGAGTGTAGTAACTTCAAATCTAGAAAATCATCTTGGGTATCAGGTGAGTAGGGGACAGGTGGGATGAGGGAATGAGCGAGAGGTACACAAAACTATTGCTGATGTTTTCTCATTTAGCTGGGTGGTGAATACATGAGTGTTCAATGTATTATTATTTTCGTACTTTCCATACACCTTAGATATTTGACAATACATTTAAAAATCAAAAAGCAGAACCCCAGAGATGACTACAGGTGGTGTCCTCTAGACTGTTCTCTTCACTTTGGTTTTCTGGTAACTGGTCAGCATCCTTGTCTCCCTGGCCTGCCCCAGGTTCTACAGAGTCTCCTGCCAGGAGTGACCACATCCTTTCTGAGCATGGATTTGTTTGTTTGTTTTCGGTTTATTTATTTAGTTCAATAATCTACAGTTATAAATTATAAAGTCCCAATGTGGGACTCAATCCCATGACCCTAAGATCAAGAGTCTCACGCTCCTCCCACTGAGCCAGCCAGGCGCCCCCGCTGCACGGATTTGAACGCGCTTGGGCAATGAGGCAGACTCATCAGAAACCTGTAGTCCTACATTGACATTTTTCCAGCCCATTAGCTCAAAGCTGCGGACTCTCCCCGTGCCCAAGGGTCTGGTTGGAGCTCATCCCTGCACCGGTCTTGAGAAGTGAGCGCGACAGCGAGCGCCCAAGGGGCCAGACTGCCACAGCCCAGACCCTGCCTGCCCCAGGCACCATAGTTGGCCTCAGTTTCCTTAGCCCCACATCCACTGAGACCTGGAGCTCCCGGGGAGAAGGTAGGAGAGTGTTTGCTGGAAGGACTCCAGCGGTCCTTTGGGCTGGACTCGGGAGTTGGAAGTGAGGAGATGGGGAAACAAACATCTGTTTACCAGAAATTTAAGAGGCCCGAGGAAGACAGAAGGAGGTCACTTAGGAGAGGGGCAGTTGGGAGTCAAGACGGAACTGAATGCTCCAGGGGCCCCCAAATGCTACTTACGCCCCTGGGGGCGCGGGCTCGGATCAGTTCCCAGGCAGCTGACTCCTCGTCCCCTTCCCCGGCTGCGCCGTTCCTTGGATGCCCCGAAGGGCGGTGCGCGCGGCCGGGTCCCGTTCCCCCCGGGAGCGCGGCACGGAGCCAGACCCTTCGTGAGAGCGCCCAGAACACGTTCGTAATAAAATTAGGATGAACGCCCTGAAAACTGACGGTGTCGCGTAAGACCTGGGTGTGAAGTCTGCAGGAGCAGACGAATCCAAAGGACAATTTCTGTTTTCTTTCACCAAAATGCCATCGCCGGAGCCCTCCGGGGTCCCCCCAAACGGCGACACCCGCGGCCAGTTTCGGGGCCCGGTCATCACCCCTTTGCAAATTAAAACACCAGCAAAAGGAGGCCGAATGCAACTTCTCGCCTTGGGGCGGGGCCGAGGGCGGGGACGGGGCGGGGGAAGCGAGAAAGCGGAAGCTTAATTTTCTGTTTCCCGCTAAACCACCTCCTCAGTACCCTAGGACAGAGCTCGAGGCTGGTCGGGGCTAGTCGAGCTGGAATCCTGGGGCTGCAGGCCTTTCGAGGAAACACCTGCGGAGCGCGCCGCCAGAGCCTGAGAGGTAGGGGGGAAGGGCTGGAGCGGGCTGGGGGAGGACTGGAGGGAGCGAGGTTGTTCCCGGAACTCCGTCCCTGTTGGCGGGGGGGACCTGCCAGCTTCAAAAAATTAATCAGAAAACAGAGAAGCAACAAAAAAGATCCCCCTCTTCCTCCCCCCAAACCCCACGTGTATCCACCAAAAGTAACCAAGGTTGTTGTCCTTGCAGAACTGGGTTCCCGGGTACACAGAATTAGGACTGTTGGTTTGTCCCACTCTCTCCCGCGCGGGGCCCCTCCCCGTGAGGTATCGCCTGGTTCCCCTGGTGTAAAGCGGGCGCCTTGCAGTCAAAATCCTGGTTGCGGACTTGGGAGGTTCCGTCTCATTCTGCCGGAGGGAGGCGCTCTGCAGAGGAGAAACCTTGGCGGGTAAGGCGTCTCTCGCGCTCCTTTGCACAAATCCTGCAAGAGCTGGGCTTCTTTCCCTCCCCAGGTCTGCGCCCGTCTCCCGAGCTCCCCTGCGCTCCTTTCCCGCTCGGGAGCTTTTGCCCTGCAGTCGGTAGCAACTTCCAACGACAGGCGCACAGTGAGAGATCGGGGAGCCGGGAGGCTGGGAACGCCGAGCGAACAGGGGAGGAGCGGGAGGCGCGCAGCGTCACAGCCTAGGTCTTACCACGCTGAACTTGATAAAATTTCCCACTGTTCAGGAGCACGAAGAACTTTAGAGGTAAGAACCACATCAGTTACCACATCAGCTCCTGAAAGTGAAGCCAGCGAGGTTGTGGCCCGGGGACAAGATAGGGTCAGTGTTCATTGTATTACAAGAAGCTGCGTTCCCAGGATGCCTGTAAGCCCCTGGCTTGCAAGGTCAGTCTTCAAACAGTAACGGCGTGGGGCAGGGTAGGAGGACTCCCAGGGCAGTCCACAAAGCCCTGTATCCCCCAACAAGTGGCTAAAAGAACTCCCGTGGATTCTGTCCAGAGAGGCTAAGCTGCGGTGAATGACTCCATTCCCCGTTTGCACATGACTGTCATAGGACGCAGAAGGGACTCCTTGCAGTGGAGTGCCTAAGAGAGGGGGATGCCTAACGGTGCCCCCCCCGCCCACTGATGGCAGGTCTCAGAGCAAAGCCTCTACAAGGAGATGGCGGTTCTGGCTAATGTTGGCGAGGCTATGGCTGCCTTGAAAAGAGAAACTGGTTCCTCTTCAGTCTGCAGGGGGCAGAGGTGAGAGCTCCTATGGCCAGATGAGCCGCTAAGCGTGATAACGTCCTGTGTCAGAAGTGTTCCTTAAAATGTCACAAGACTCTTCTTCTGTTTAAAGAAGAAGATGAAAAATCACCTTAAAAAATTAGAAGAAAAAAGAAGGGGACACCTGGGTGGCTCAATCGGTTGAGCATCCGATTTTGGCCCAGGTCATGATCTTACGGTTGGTGGGTTCGAGCCCTGCATCAGGCTCTGTGCTGACAGCTCAGAGCCTGGAGCCTGCTTCAGATTCTGTGTCTCCCTCTCTCTGGTCATGCTCTGTCTCTCTCCCTCTCAAAAATAAACATTTTAAAAAATTAAAAAAAAGAAAATGGACAGTCACAAGTTTTAGTACCTTTTGCGAATCAAAGAAGAGTGAAATGTGATGATAGCCTCCTGGTCGGAATACGAAATGCACAGGTGTTTATGCCTACCAGAAAACAGAAATGGGGCACCTGGGTGGTTCAGTTGGTTAAGCCAACAATCCTTGATTTCGGCTCAGGTCATGATCCCAGGGTTGTGGAATCCAGCCCTGCAGCTGGCTCAGTGCTGAGCCTGGAACCTGATTGAAATTCTCTCTCTGCCCCTCTCCCCCGTGTGCTTTCTCTCTCTAAAATAAAATAAAACTAAAAAGAAAAAGAAAGGAAGGAAGGAAGGAAGAAAGAAAACAGTAATCAATTGCAGTATTATTGTCATAGCAACAGGACGTTAAGTTTACAACCATTCATAGTTATAGTATCCCTCAAGGCTAATGCACATGATCACAGGGCAGAGCAACAGTCTCTGAAGACCAGGTGTCTTAAGAGGATTCCTTTCCTAGGGGGAAAAAAAATCAACAAGGGGAATTTTATGAAATGGAATACTTCCTGCTTTTATGCACCCGTAATGGAAGGGACAGCATTTTCTCTATTTTTTTTTTTAATTTTTTTTTCAACGTTTATTTATTTTTGGGACAGAGAGAGACAGAGCATGAACAGGGGAGGGGCAGAGAGAGAGGGAGACACAGAATCGGAAACAGGCTCCAGGCTCCGAGCCATCAGCCCAGAGCCTGACGCGGGGCTCGAACTCCCGGACCGCGAGATCGTGACCTGGCTGAAGTCGGACGCTTAACCGACTGCGCCACCCAGGCGCCCCGGGACAGCATTTTCTCTTATTTTGCTGAGGTAATTTTCACTGGCAATTAGGAGTGCCTGCTGTTTTCCGTGCCAAACACTAGATTTCCACTGAGAAGGGAGTTGGCAGGCCTGAAAAGTGTAAATTCACAATTTGCAAGGGAAAAGACAGGGTGGGTGGTGGTTACTAGCGAATGAATATGGGGCATGCCAAGGTGTCCTTTTGGAGTATGCACGATTTGGGGCTTCAATACCCTAGTCCTAATCAAAGGTTTAGTTTCTATGAAAAAATATTAGTAATAACAGGCACATCAATTTCTACTGGTTTTTGAGCTAAGTATATTATAACAAAATATGTTTTACTTTGTTTTTGCCATCATTCATACATGTAATTTTTTTAAGTTTATTTACTTATTGGAGAGAAGAGAGAGAGCATGGAGAGGAGCAGAGAGAGAGAGAGAGAGAGAGAGAGAGAGAGAGAGAATCCCAAGCAGGCTCTGCGCTGACAGGGCACTAACTGATCTCACTAACTGAGAGATCTTGATCTGAGCTGAAATCAAGAGTTGGATATTTAACTGACTGAGCCACCCAGGTGCCCCTCAGATATGTAATTTTTAATAGCTTTATTGGGGTATTGTTGACACGAAATAAACTACACATATTTTTTTTTAATTTTTTTTCAACGTTTATTTATCTTTGGGACAGAGAGAGACAGAGCATGAACGGGGGAGGGGCAGAGAGAGAGGGAGACACAGAATCGGAAACAGGCTCCAGGCTCTGAGCTGTCAGCACAGAGCCCGACGCGGGGCTCGAACCCACGGACCGGGAGATCTGACCTGGCTGAAGTCAGACGCTTAACCGACTGCGCCACCCAGGCGCCCCCACATATATTTTTTTAAGTAAAGCTCTACACCCAATGTGGGGCATGCACTCAGACCCCAAGAACAAAAACATGTTCTACTAATTAAGCTCCGGTGCCCCTCAACTGCACATATTTAAAGTGTACAAGCTGGGACACCTGGGTGGCTCAGTCAGTTAAACATCTGACTCTTTTTTTTTTTTAATTTTTTTTTTTTAACGTTTATTTATTTTTGAGACAGAGAGAGACAGAGCATGAACGGGGGAGGGTCAGAGAGAGGGAGACACAGAATCTGAAACAGGCTCCAGGCTCTGAGCTGTCAGCACAGAGTCTGACGCGGGGCTCGAACTCACGGGCCACGAGATCATGACCTGAGCCAAAGTCGGCCACTCAACTGACTGAGCCACCCAGGCGCCCCTAAACATCTGACTCTTGATTTCAGCTCAGGTCACGATCTCACAGTTGGTGAGTTCTAGCCCCATGTCGGGCTCTGGATGACAGCATGGAACGTGCTTGGGATTCTCTCTCTCTCTCTCTCTCTCTCTCTCTCTCTCTCTCTCTCTCCCTCCCTCCCTCCCCACCTCTCTCTGCCCCTCCCCCACTGTTATGAACATTCAGCACAGGTCTTTGTATGGAAATATGTTTTCGTTTTTCATGGGTAAATACTTAGGTGTGAAATGGCTGAGTCATATGGTAAGTGTGTGAAACTATCAAAGTCTTTTCTAAAATGGTTGTATTTATGTTCCCGCCAGGAGTGTGCGAGAGTTCCCTTTTCTCCATATGCTTGCCGACACCTTGTATGGTTAGTCATTTTAGCTATTCTGATAAGTGAGTAGTGCTATCTCAGTGGAGTTTTATTTGCCATTTCCTAATAACTGATGATGTTGAACAATATTTCATGTACTTATTTGCTCTTCATATATCTTCTTTGGTGAAATATCTGTTCAAATCTTTTATCCATCAAAAAAATTAAAAAAAAATTTTTAATGTATTATTTTATTTTTGAGAGAGAGAGACAGAGTGCGAGTCAGGGAGGGGCAGAGAGCGAGGGAGACAATATGAAGCAGGCTCCAAGCTCTGAGCTGTCAATGCAGAGCCTGATGCGGGGCTTGAACTATTGGACTGCCAGATCATGACCTGAGCCCAAGTTGGATGCCCAACCTACTGAGCCACTCAGGTGCCCCTAAAAAAATGTTTTTAAATGTTTATTTCTTTTTGAGAGAGAGAGCGAGGGAGGGGGTAGAGAGAATCCCAAGCAGACTCTGCTCTGAGAGCTGCAAGCCCGATAAGGGGCTCAAACTTACAAATGGTGAGATCGTGACCTGACCTGAGACCAAGAGTTGGATGCTTAACCAACTGAGCTACCCAGGCACCCCATTGTACTTAAAAAAATTTTTTTAATATGATTTATTTTCAAGTTAGCTAACATACAGTATATACAGTGTGCTCTTGGTTTCAGGGGTAGATTCCCGTAATTTGTTACTTATATACAAAACCCAGTGCTCATCCTAACAAGTGCCTATCTCAATGCCCATCATCCATTTTCTTGTCTCCCCTGCCACCCCCATTAATCCTCCATTTGTTCTCTGTATTGGGTTTGCTTCTCTCTGTTTGAAATTATTTTCCCCCTTCCGTTCCCCCATGGCCTTCTGTTAAGTTTCTCAAGTTCCACATATGAGTGAAAACATATGATATCTGTCTTTCTCTGACTGACTTACTTCACTTAGCATAATACCCTCCAGTCCCATCCACGTTGTTGCATCCATCCTCCATTTTTTTTTTAATTTTTTTTTCAACGTTTTTATTTATTTATGGGACAGACAGAGACAGAGCATGAACGGGGGAGGGGCAGAGAGAGAGAGGGAGACACAGAATCAGAAACAGGCTCCAGGCTCCGAGCCATCAGCCCAGAGCCTGACGCGGGGCTCGAACTCACGGACCGCGAGATCGTGACCTGGCTGAAGTCGGACGCTTAACCGACTGCGCCACCCAGGCGCCCCGCATCCTCCATTTTTAAATCGGGTTGTTTTCTTATTATTGCCCTTCAAGAATTCTGTATCTAATCTAGATACAAGTGATCAGATATATCATTTGGAAATATATTCTTCTGGTCAGGGGCTTGTATTTTCATTCTCTTAACAGGTGTTAAAAGAAAAGGTGCAAAAAGGTGTTCTTGAAGTCCAACATATTCATTTTTTTCTTTTATGTACTGTACCTTTAGTGACATCTCTAAAAAAATGTCTGCCAAGCCCAAGGTAAAAATATTTTCTCCGATGTTGTCCTCCAGAGGTTTTGAGGTCAAGAGACTGAACATACAAATGGACACTGGCCAGACCATATATGAACACAGAACTCTCCACCCACAATACTGGAGCAACAACCTCCAGAAGCTAAACCACAGCCCATGCAGCGAAAGTGCTCAGGACTTGGTTAACAACTCCCAGATTCCCTGGTGTGTGGCCCCACTTCTAACTCAGAAGGAACCAAAGAAAGCTAAACAGGCTTCCAAACCAGTCACATAAGATGTGCCATTTCTAGTAAGCTCACTGCCAGCTTCCCTAGAAAAACAACTTCAAATCAGGGCTTACCCGGGCGAGTGCCTCCCCCCTCCTCTCTCACTATAAAGCTTCCCCAGTCCCCTGCCTGCCTCTGAGTCTCTGCCATCGCAAGTGGCTGACTCCCTTGTCACAGTGCACTCTGAATAAATAGCCTCTCATTATTCCCATTTGGGCAGTCTTCATTTATTTCCACATAGTTTCACGTTTTACATTTAGACCTGTGACACATTTTAAATAAATTTTTGTAAATGGCACCAAATATGAATTGAGGTTCATTTCTGTTGTATGTGGATATCCAATTGTTCCAGTCCTCTTTGTTGAAAAAGTAATTACACTTTCTCCACTCGGCATCTTTGTTGTCCATATATATGTGGGTCTATTTCCAGACCCTTTCTTCCCTGAATCTGTTTGTCTTTATACTGATTCCACACTGTCTTGTTTACTATAACTGTA